GGCCTTCGATGCGCAGTTCAAGAACAAGAAGATGTTTCTCGTTCTCGATAACGCCTCATACCACCACTGCTTTGACGAGGAGGTTAAGGTGCCCGAAACCAACAGTAAGAAGTACAACGTCGAACTCTTGCGCAAGTACGGTTGCACGTCGTTCAAGGTGACGCGTGAGTCGGAGGGTAAGGCTGCTGAGTACAACTTTGAGGTCCCGGCGCAGGGGTCGCTACCCAACGCGAACCGCAAGAACGGCGTCAGCAAAGAAGAGATTGCCTCCGTCACTCGGACGTACTTCAAAAAGAATTTTCCACAAAAGCTCGAGGAAAAGGCTGAGACGTACATGAGGGAGAAGGGGTGGGGGTTAATTTGGACACCGCCGTACATGCCGACTTTCCAGCCGATCGAGCTGTTCTGGCAGCACGGCAAGCATTACGTGAGCATTCATTTTGAGAAGGGGCGGAACATGTTGGATGTGTGGAAGCAAATCCGTCTCGGTTGGTATGGAGACCCGGAATGGGACGGTCAGGAAGGGGGATGGAAGGCAGCCAACTGTGGAAAGTTGGTGCACCATGCCATTGGCAAGATGGACGAGTGGATCGGCCTGTATGGTGGAAACCTGAGCGGTACGATCGGTAGCCTTGAGTATCCAGTGGCAGAGTACCAAGAGGCTACGGCCGAGGATGAGATAGAGGATGGGGTGGAGGAGCAGACGGATGAATGGCTGGGTGAGGACGCGGAAGATGCCATTGAGGGCTGAAAAAAATGCCAAAAATAAAATGCCAAAAACAGATGCCCTTTTTTGGGCCAATATTTTTCGACTTTGATTCCAGAACAGCGACACGAAGGTGCTGCACAGAAGGCGCCATTCTGAGTGCAAGCTGACATATTGTTTGATATTTCGCAATTGAGATGGCTGTATCATCCTGTTCAATCAATATATGGATCACTTGTGCAAGCCCTTGGGCCAATCGTTGGAACACCGCGCTTCAATATTTTGGGAACTTCGCCGGGTGCGATCACACACTAATTTCGTAATATTACTCAAAGACATGGTGAATTTTTTTATTTTATTTTTTTAGAAAGAGAGCTCTGTGCTTTGTCGCCAATTTGCGCTATAGTTTGTGATAGGGGACTCCGAATTGACGAAGTTACACAATTTTCCAATTTGGTCTTGACTACTATGTTCCGCCGTAATAATGTTGCGCTGTTGACCTGCCGCTCTGCGGGCGAGGGATCCCGTGAAGGGCCCCATCATCCCTTTTTAAGGTAGCTCCGAACAATGTTCTGTTGTTCATCGCGCTTTTTTAGAGCGCACTTGTCGATCGAGTGGCGAAACCTGCAACCCGGATAGGGGCATTGTTCCCCCTTCTGCTGTGAAGCAGAGGTGGAACGGCCTTGTCCGGTGCGCGCGGCTACTTCGATGCACCCTGTTGAGTCGCACGATTTCCCGGCTGCTGCATGGCCTCCAGCTTCGTTACTGTGGCTTGGAGTTCTTTGATCACCTCGATGTTCGATGAGACAGTGCTCTTTAGCTGCGGAGGTTTTTCGTACATGACAGCAGATACGGTATCGGTGGTGGGTGACGAGACGCCTCTGAGATTGTTGGCTTCGTGTTTCTTTGCGCGAAGACGTGCTTCCTGAAATAAGTGAGTGGGGTCTTCTCTAACACATTCCACCCTTGTGTGAGGCAAAAGGCCGTTCTCAAACGTTGCGGTCATGAAAGCGTCCCATGCATGTTCGTGAGGGCCGAGGTGAGAGGGACCTGAACGAGAAGCCTCCGCGAGGAGGCGCGTGCGGGCCTGAGTTACTTTGAGCGCAAAGTCGTCTACTGTCTGGTTCTCTCCCTGCTGTATAATGGCGATTTCTCTGGCTAGGACCGCCAAGCGGCTGGGCGCGGAGAATTGGAAGGAAAGGGCCTGATAGTATTCGTCCCAAGTCGCGGGTGCTCTTGGCCTGACTACTTGTCCTGTTTTCCAAAGTGCGGTTAAACAACTCGCCGACCGCCATTCGAGGGAGCCACCAACCAGTTCGACTAGGGTGTCGTAGGCTTGGTCTCGATTACAAACGGGAGAAATTGGATCGCTTTTTGGTCCACTACAGATTCGGGTGGGTCATCGGCCGCAACGCAGGTTAACTTCACACGTGCTCTGTATCGAGTTAGGGTTTCAACCACATCTGGCTCCCCTGGCTTCCCTGAATAAGCGATATCTTGTGGGAGGTCGTTCTGCCGGTAAGTGAATTTGCGAGCATGGCTAGATGTATGCGTTGAAACGGGGCTGCCTACAGGCATAGAAGATTTTGCAAGCTGGGGCGCGGACGGTGCTATAGGGTTGCTAGGCCTGCGTGTACTATCCTCGCCATGCTGAGTAGATGCCAACTCGGGGGCTAAGCTGCGTGGATGCACAGGTGAGTTCTGAGTTGCAGCGGGCAATACTGGTTGGCGAAAAATGAGACCTGAGGAGGCGCTACCTCGAACTGCTACGTGCTGTAGAAGCAGTATTCACCTGAGCAATCTTTTCTGCAGAGGCCCGAGTTGTGGTGGAGCTCTTCGTCGACGCCAATGACATTACTGGTCGCTGTCGGAGACAGAGGCCGGTACTCTTGCAGTGTTCTCCCACTGCCGAGGGTGGCTATTTCCTTTCGTGAGATGTTACGAGGAGAGGAAGGTAGAAAAAGAGGAAATCGCGATGCCCAACACCAAGAGCTCGCGGAAGAAAAAAGTGCGTGCGCGCGCTGAAGACGCAGAGCAGCGGGCAGAGAAGACAACCGCTGAACTGGCTCGTCACCAGGACGAGCTTGCGGAGCTGCGGCAAGAGCTCGCTGCCGCGAAAGCCGTCTCGTCGCACTCGTCCGTTACCCAGTCGGGGCGGGGCACCCCTCCTCAGCGTGTGGCAGCACCACGTCCCTCTCGGGGAAATAACTCCCAGCGAGAGCCGATCCCCGAGGGGAACGAGCGCGCCGAGAGCGAGGAAAAGGGTGACACACCTGATGGCACCCCTGGCGGCGACGGGGATGACAGCGGCGACGAGGATAATTGCGGCGGCGATGGAGCTGATAACCAGGAGTTACGCAGCGATTATGATATGCACATCATTCACCAGCTGCTTGAAGGTTTTTGGACACAGGGAGTCTCACCNAAGAGTTGACTGCCAGGCGCTCATGTCCAGTGCAGGAGGCCAGAGTTGGAGTTATGGTGGAGGGCTGCGTGGTAGGGCGGAAGAGTGACACCAGCCACTCGGGTGGCGTGGAGCCCTCTTTCCAGTGTTGGGCGAGTAAATCGGAGAACTGGCCTCCTGCACTGGACATGAGCGCCTGGCGGTCACCTCTTCTGCAGAGGCCAGAGTTGNCCAGTAACGTCATTGTAGTGAGACGGAAAGGACAAGAAGAGGAAATCGCGATGCCCAACACCAAGAGCTCGCGGAAGAAAAAAGTGCGTGCGCGCGCTGAAGACGAGGACCACCAGGCGCTCATGTCCAGTGCAGGAGGCCAGTTCTCCGATTTACTCGCCCAACACTGGAAAGAGGGCTCCACGCCACCCGAGTGGCTGGTGTCACTCTGCCGCCCTACCACGCAGCCCTCCACCACAACTCCGGCCTCTGCAGAAGAGTTGACTGCCAGGCGCTCATGTCCAGTGCAGGAGGCCAGAGTTGGAGTTATGGTGGAGGGCTGCGTGGTAGGGCGGAAGAGTGACACCAGCCACTCGGGTGGCGTGGAGCCCTCTTTCCAGTGTTGGGCGAGTAAATCGGAGAACTGGCCTCCTGCACTGGACATGAGCGCCTGGCGGTCACCTCTTCTGCAGAGGCCAGAGTTGTGGTGGAGGGCTGCGTGGTAGGGCGGAATAGTGACACCAGCCACTCGGGTGGCGTGGAGCCCTCTTTCCAGTGTTGGGCGAGTAAATCGGAGAACTGGCCTCCTGCACTGGACATGAGCGCCTGGCGGTCACCTCTTCTGCAGAGGCCAGAGTTGTGGTGGAGGGCTGCGTGGTAGGGCGGAATAGTGACACCAGCCACTCGGGTGGCGTGAAGCCCTCTTTCCAGTGTTGGGCGAGTAAATCGGAGAACTGGCCTCCTGCACTGGACATGAGGGCCTGGTGGTCCTCGTCTTCAGCGCGCGCACGCACTTTTTTCTTCCGCGAGCTCTTGGTGTTGGGCATCGCGATTTCCTCTTCTTGTCCTTTCCGTCTCACTACAATGACGTTACTGGTCCCTGTCGGAGACAGAGGTCGGTACTCTTGGAGTATTCTCCCACTGCCAAGGGTGGCTATTTCCTTTCGTGAGATGTAACGAGGAGAGGAAGGTAGAAAAAGAGTGACCAGAGGGTCGAGAGAGGAGAGCCGGAGGCTCCCCATCTCTTCCCTCGGCAATCGGCCATGGACTTCGGAAGAGACAAATCTCCTCGGTGCTTTACTTGCCACTTCTCCCGATGGCAAGTTACCCCGAGGAATAATATCTTCCTACACTTTTAATGTGCACCAATGGTTGGTTATATATTCCGACAGGTGTCCTCCACAGTAACCATGAATGGTGGTCGAGTAGATTATGTTGTGCAGGGTGGAGAAGCCTCACTCCGGGCAAAAGGGATAATCGCACGATACGTAAAATTGGTTAAGCACCCTCGAGGTACACAGCGCTTATAACTAACTGCCTCTGGAAGTGAAAGCACCAGCAAATAAATTAGGTCATACGCAGCTGTCATCCGTACGCAAGGAAGTAAGCACAAGACGCCGAACACCCTTAGCAGGGTGCAGCGCACCCTTCATGCTTCTCGCCGAATACCTCACGGCGCTTCGCGCTTGGTGATGTGCGAGCCTGGTCCGGTGAGAACCCGGCGTGCTCCGTCCCGGCTAAGTAGGGATGCGAGGTCAATGGTCTAACGACTGCGGCATGCGCGACTATGAGTACACCCCCCCCACACCTCCCCCGCTCGCCGCCGTCGATGTCATATAGCGCTCGTGAATGAGCAACGGCACATAAATAGAAGGGATGGACAAGGCAAGCGGCGGGAGGTCATGCCACCTAACCTCACGCTTCAAAATCTGAGTTGACACTATTTATAGCTGTGTCTCTCAAGAAACAGGTTCGAGAAAAAAACCCGTCAAACGTTGCTCTCTCAAGCGTACCTTGTTCTCGTCCAAGTGGTCCGGGGTGGACGGAATGGGAAGAATGTCCTTCGCCCCTTCTCCCCAAGGGTTCTCTCCCATCCAGACGTAAACAACTCCCTCGTTCACCGCCAGCGGGTACACGCGGAGGGTGGCCGCCCGGGGCGGGGTTGCCCCTTCCGGAAGCTGCAGCGGTACGGTTGTGCAGGACCAAAAGCAGTAGCAGCAATGCCAGGCCATGAAAACACAAGGGTGCAATGCGCTGAGAAAATGGTCGTCAAAGACTCGCGTTTCGAAGAATTCATCTCAAGACTGATGTAGCGCGTATGCTGTCGTCTGCAGATGTGTGTGTGTGGCTCAGACCTAGTGGTCTATCTGTCGGAGGGCGTGCTGTAAAGCAATAACACGATCACCAGATCTATGCAACAAACACCGGACTCTATATCAACGATGTTGGCAAACAGACTACATTCCCCTTTCGTTCACAGGAACACAAGCATAACATGGAACAGCGGGTCCGGGGGGGATATCGCGCGCACCTGCGGGACTTTGACGCAAGTGCCCTTGGAGCCTTCGAACTGCCAGCCATGGTAAAGACACTCAATGTTGCCCTCCTCCGTAATCTGTACACAAGTTAGAGAGCATTGTTGTGCATTGCATGGGCAACCGCCGCCCGATGACCCACATAGTATAACGTACTGTAGAAACCATCGCACCCTTCGGCACCGGCATCACTCGCTTGCTTGAAAATTCCAGAGACGACTTTCGAAGCGAGTGCAGCGGTACTTGAGAATGCTAATGGGCAAACGGTACAGCTACTTCCGTTGGATATTACACCCTCACGTTTCGCCAAACACCGCCCAGAGAGGGCGGCCGGTCTGCAAGCGCAAGAAACGACATCAACTACCACCGACTCTGCAAGTAGAGCGGTGAGGGAGTCGAGGGCGCCGGCCAAACCCCCCAAAACACAGAACGGTAGGCAATTCGAGAGGTCACTGCCACAAGCCGTAAGGGCCATGGGAGTGAGAGCGGGCGTTCTAGGAAGGCCTACCCGCCCACGCCCCAAATCGGTTTCGTGGGAAGGCCCGTCGACAAACGCTGACAAAGGTTGGTCGCTCCCACACCTCAACGCCACTACTACTACTGTGAAGTGCGTGTGTTCGCCATCAACGCCGCTGCTCTCAACCACTCCTGACTCCAACTGGCTTTATCCAACGCTGCTGTGCTGTTGCCTGTACCCCCAAAACCTCGAGTTACTCGTCTAGATTAGATCATCGCACGTCGTACGTGAGACACGCACAACATATTCCTCATGGAAGGAACTTGATGGCACGCACAGCAGGTAAGGGGAAACGTTTAACCCTATTCCTACGCATCAAACGGCCTTGCTTGGTGAATAGACCCCCCACAGCAGCAAGCGGTGTTGCTTTCTAGTCTTCCTCACAAGACTACTACTGTGACCGAATCTCGAAAAATTAAGTTAATGAGGAAATAGAACAGGGAGGGGGTACGCAGACCCTGTCCCCAACCCAACTTTCCCCGATCGCATGCTTTATATCCAACATGTTTTCTTTAACGCAAAACCCTGCATGTACTGCTTCACCTGCCCTTCGGAAAGCTTGGCCGCGCGGTGAGGGCAGAAGTCGCTCACGCACTGCAGCGCGCCGCTGGTGTCACGGTACAGCATCAGGGGCTCGTCGAAGATCGACACAGCGAAAGGCTTTGGGCCCTCGACGATGTCTCTGTCGTAGCCCACGGCATACCAGCTGTACACAGAAGAATGGGACGGGGGGGTAACGTGCGCTGCTGCAGAGACCGTCATCATGCTGATCGGGGCGGTGCATGTGTGGACATGACACTAATAGTAGCATGCAGCAAAACAAAAAACAGGGAGGCACCCACAGGGCAGCGCGACCTCTATAATAGTATGCATCGAATCGAAGAAGAGGAGACCTCGGAACACCAAAACAAGAACGATTTTCATGGTGCGAAGACAACCGCCAACAGCAACAGCAACGGGGAAAAGAAAAAGAAGGGCATGGACAGAACATGTCCCTAACGAAGTAGAGGTTACCACTGCCTGCTCTGGCTCGAAAACCTGGGCGCACAGGTTGCCGAAATGGATGAGTCTATTAACTTCTCCCTTCTTCCCCTCGCTCCTCGACAAACTTTTGCTTAGACATGGGTTGTAGTGAAGGGGGGGGTCTTTCTGGCGAGCAGGGCTAGATTCACCCTCAAGGGATGACCGAAACCTTCTTGCTGCTGCGCATATCCGCCGCGAGGCATGCGCGTGGTGGTGTAGTTGGGTCGGCACTGATGGGGTCAGGCGAAAAAATGTAGATGCGCGGGCC